AACAATTAATTTTATAAAAAATAAACCATTTCTGATAGAGAAAAGAAAAAAACTACTTGTTAGTTATTTTAGTTTTTATTTTTATTTAATTTCATAAATAGATATCATAAACATAAATACTTTTAAAATTTTGCTATAGGACATGTCCACTCTCCAGAGACAGACAGACAGACAGAAGGAGAGAGGGAAAGTGAGGAATCACCCCTGGGGGGATGGCCATGCCACAATCCCTTCTACTCCATTCTCCTCTCAAGATTATGGGCACGCACACATGTGCTCAGCATGTTTTTTAAGCTGCTGATCTGGGACCAACTCACAGTCAGCCACGTATGGACGCTTCTGCCTTGACTGCCAAGCCGACCAGCTGGCCTGCTTTAAATCAGCCATTTCTATTCAATATCAAAGCCTTAGAAATAGGTGTGACTCTTGGCCATGAAAGACAGAGAAATAGGGAAAGTGCTCCTGGACCCCACCTTGTCCCCAGTATCTGGCTTTCATGTAAGCCGTGGTAAAACATGCTGAGGACAGAATACAAAGGCCATGCTTGCAGACAGAGACACACACACACACACACACACACACACACACCAGTTTAAAAGTTCAAAATAGGGATCAGTGGTTGGTGTAATGGCTATGTCACTGGACTCCCATGTACCAACTGCAGTTTGAGTCCCGGACCCGGTGGCTTAAACTCACACCCAGTGCGTGTGTGTGCCCAAGATCCCGAGTAGAGAATGGAGGAGAAGGGATTGTGGTGTGGCCATTACTCCTAGAGGGTGATTTCTCACTTTATGTCTCTCTGTCTCTTTCTGGTGAGCACACGTGCCCTATAGCAAAAATCTCTCAGAAAAAAAAAGTTCAAAAATATATTGTTTTCAATTAAACCAGTTGCTTCATTTAATGAAAATGTATTTTGTGCTCTCTCTTCACAAGAAAAAGAGAGAGGAGAGGAAAAGACAAAGGAGGAGGAAAGTACCACATATTTGTGTCTGCTCTTCGTGAAGGGGTTGGAAGAGGGCTGTGGGACATACTAAACATACACAATAATTATTCTCTGTGGCTTCTCATTCCAAATGCGGGGAGGACAGGCGTGTGTACACAGCACCCCTGGGAGCACACAGCACAGGGCCCTGAGCATCCAGATTTTTAGTGTCCAAGCTCTGATGATAGTGTTGAAGCAACAAAATTGACATCCAACTACATTTCCGGGTGAACAATGACTGCTATCGTTAAAAGGAAAATGATACGAAGATACTTTGGGTCTGAGTCTATTTCAATTTCCATTAAACTATAATCGTAGGGTTTGTATAATCGAATCAGCCTATCACTGCCTGGATGCGGATGTGCTCTAAGGACGTTTAGAAAGAGGGCATCGGCTCCTTTAAAAGCAAGAAGCTTGAATCTGTTGGGTTGTCAGGGAAGCCATGATGCATTTTTACATAGAAAAATATGTCTGACGCCTAATATACGATTTTATGAATGTCCATATTATCTTACCTACTTCCTAAAAATCCACTGTACACATTAGTAACATTACATATTACTAAGAACTTGTCCTACCTTAAAAGCGACTCAGTCAGGAGTGTGGAGGAGCCTGTCCGTGGACACTTAACAGGTACACGTTTTACTGCTATACATTATTTGAAACACTTGAAGTTGTCTGACGGCAGAAGTGTGAGAGGGCGCCAAAAACAACAGATGGCTATTTATATGTCTACCCTAGAACACCATCTCTCAGGGTGTGAGGATGACTAATGTTTTGTGATTTAGTGACGGCTTCTGTGGAACAGAAAGAAGCAAACACACAGTTATGTGTAACACCCGATGTCTCAACATCGACACAGTGTAGAGAACGGCTTTCCCCGGTATGGAAAACTGGGGCCAAACAGCTTCTTCCCACTCGCCTTTTCACTTTTTCACTGACTTCGCTCATCCTGACTCCCACCCTACCCCGCCATGAGATCTGGGTTTGCTGGTGCTGAATCAGAAACCAGGCGTTTACAGTATGTGTTGCCATCGCTTTAAAACCAACGCCAACAGAGTGTGGCCAGAGGTG